TCTTCTTCTTCTTCTTCTTCTTCTTCTTCTTCTTCTTCTTCTTCTTCTTCTTCTTCTTCTTCTTCTTCTTCTTCTTCTTCTTCTTCTTCTTCTTCCTCCTAGCTTTCCATTCCCTCTGCCAAATAAATAATAAACAATGCAGAGGTGGTGCAGTAGTACAGCAGAGGACAAGGGGGAGGGACCTGTAAGGTGTTTTCAGGCTAATTCCACTGTTTTCTAAAAACTGCAGCTTTAAATAAATTTCTCGTTATTAACAATATTTTGGGTCAGAATTGAGTCACACGCGTCACATTCTCTTACCCCTCAGGTTATGATTATCATCACGGGAGCACACAAAGCATTTGCTTTATATAAAGCCATAGAAGAAGGTGTGAATCACATGTGGACGGTGTCAGCATTCCAACAGCACCCGCAAACCATTTTCGTTTGTGACGAAGACGCCACTCTGGAGCTGCGGGTTAAGACTGTGAAGTACTTCAAAGGTACGGATAAACCCCAGAGCTGTGCAGTGCCGTGTGTACTTTAGTCATGATAACAAAGACCTTGGATGAATGAAGATAAATGTCTTGTGTGAATCGCAGAAAACATGCYGAGTGTTGTTCTTTCTGTAGGAATGATGCATGTGCACAACAGGCTGGTGGAGCTCCTTCCTTCTGAGAACAAGAAGAACTGATGAGATTGTTATATCACACTTCACAATTCATGAAGCATTTATCAGGAAAACACTCCAATGGTTGCCTTTAACTCCTGCATATTCTAATGGAAACTAATTACTTATTTGATTCAATAATACTTTATTAACCCTAAAGGGAAATTAAATGTTGTAACTCATATTATCCTGGTTGATTTAAAGAGTTATTACATATACTGACAGCTGTGGGCATGAAAGATCTCCTGTAGCGGTCCGTCTTACAGCAGCTCTGAAGAAGCCTTGACAGAAGACACTCTGTTGTAGTATGACAGTCTGATGAAGAGGATTCTCAGGGTTGTCCATCGTATTGTCAGAAAGCCTGACAGGGAGATGCCAGAGTCAGGGATATAATCCTGCAGCCATGTCTCAGTGAAACACATTATACTGCATTCCTGATACTTTGGCTGGGTTCTTGTTAAGGCTTGGAGTTCGTCCAACTTGTTCCTCAATGATTTCACATTGCCTGTCATGATCGATGGAAGAGATAGTTTAAACTTCCTCCTTCTCTAACATTGCCTGTCATGATTGATGGAAGAGATGGTTCTTCCTCCTTCTCTCTATCTCATTTGCTCCTGCTCTGCATCCACGGTGCCTCCTTTTCAACTCGTCTGGGATTCGTAGTAGTTGAAGTATTAATTGAGAGGTTTTTATTCAGAAAAGGTGGAATTAAAAAAGTTTTAAAAGAATATCTCAGAATGTAACAAAGCTACTCCCACATCCATCTTGAGCGGCGCAATAATTCGTAATACATTAGTTATCTACTAATTAGTTTAAATTAGTTACTGGAACACAGTAGGCGTTTTTATTTGTACATGTTCACACAGCCTTCTTTTTCCTGTAACCTTTTTTTTWAAATAAAGTTTGATTTTCACAGTTATGTGTTGCGGTTTTCCTTCAGATCTCATGACAACACGGAACAAGTCGTGTTGCTTTTCCGAGCTGCTCGTAAATCTTTCAGACGGTGTAACGTTTCCAGTCAGCTTTCTGTTTTGTTTTAGAGAAAAAAACTACTCAGCTGTTCAGTTTTAGCCAAGTGGAGTTTTAGATATTTTTCAATTATACCTGCATATCACATGTATAATATATATTTATATTTAGCGGTTGATTTATGTACCATAATTTCTTTCTGTATTTCGCTCGTACGAGCAGCTTGAGACCTTCAGTGGCCGACGGCACTTGAACGCAGCATCAAAACGCTGTCGTTTCTGAGAAGGAAGTAGATGGCCGACTAGTGGGGAATCCATAAATATCTGTTATTTCGTCGGAAAAAATTGTTTCACTCAGACATATTTTCCACAGCTGAAGTCGGAAGAGGACGCTTTTATCCATCTGGTTTCTCTTCCACGATGGCAGAACAGAACAGTAACGTCAGATATCAGGAGGTAAGGTAACAGGTTGTTGGCTAGCTGAACCGATGCCACGGTTAGGTTAGCTGCTAACAAGGAGCGCAGCCGACCGACGTTTACTGGGGAGAGAACCAAATGTTGCGATATTTGTGTAAATTTATATGCAACAAAAAGTCATGCAGTCAGAGTTGTGTAACAATGCGTTATGAAAAGCGGGAATTGGGTGTGGGTTGATTTTTAGCTAGTTGATGGTAACGTTAGCTGGCCTGAATCATGTCATGGGCGCAGTCCTGCGTGTRTCTGAAACCACGCAGACATCCAAACACTTCAGTAAACACGGAGTGTGAACATTTATTTTTGTTCAGTACATAGTAGTCGGTTTGTAAACGAAAACTTAACCTGAAAACTGTATTTAGGGTAGTACCTGCACATGAAGACAGAGCTGCTGAGCTTTGTGTCTTTGCTGTTCTAATGAATTCAGGCYGCCCACTGTCTTTATAAAGGTAGTTATAAAAAAATGTAAATACCCGTTTTTATTACTCAGATCTGGCTTTGCAGTACAGATCCATTTTACTTTATTTGAATATATCAACAAGTAAACTCAGTGTCATGAGTGTCCGAGTCACCCATGACATTTCATCATGAATTTATTTTCATTAACAGGCAACTCTTGTTTTGTCTTTGTTTTTACTCATTTTAATTAGGATATTTAGAGCCACAGAAACTTAACAACAGTCTGCAATTTCTTAAACCAACCCTGAATATCTGTAATGGTTGAGTAATAAGGTTACAGCAGACACATAAAGCTGCTTTACAGTAAATATTATGTTCCACTCTCCCATAGTAGTGTGGTTCGGTATACATTGACCCATGTAGTTCAGTTTCATTTGTTACCGTATCTCGTGATTTACAATTGGATGAAGTTGAAGTTTGACTTGGACCRTGTTGATTTTGCTGCTTCAGCTGGTGAACGAGGAGGAGCCGGTGCAGCCGTCCCAGGAGAGTCCAGCCCAGGACGCTCCACCACCCTACAGCAGCGTCGCTGCAGCAAATGCAGGTTAGAGAAACCCCCACTGCTTGTGATGTCTTACTATGTGTGAGCGCTTACAGCATGATTCGTGCTGTGGTGCAGTCCAAATCAGCACGAGTACATCAATGCAACCTAAAGTAATGAAGGAAAAAGTCTCTTCAAGCTATAAATAAAGTTGCGAAAAGCAACTAGAAATGAACAAAGTTGCTTCTTGTGTGATCCTTTTCTGGAAAAAGAGTATTTTAGATTGACCAATAGATTCACTGACTAGTACTTTCTTAGTCTAAATGAGTTTATCATAAGTTTTGGCTCTAAAACTCGTTTATTTAAAAGCTTCCTCAGGTAATGATTTAAAGCAGATGAGAGTAGAATATTTCAGATTTTCACTTTAAAAATGTGAAGCATTCTTTGACAATTTTCTTGTTTATTTTCTTGTAGAAACGCAGCCAATAAATACTGTAAAGCGGAGCAGCCTGAGTGCTGTTAAAGTCTCTCGTTTCAAGCTTCTTATGAGTCTATAGGTCAGCGTGTTGCGTAAGTGGGTGCTGCCCGGAGCTCTTACTGGATGAGTTCATTGATCTGATTCAGTGCTGGTGCTGTTTGAACAACACAAACCAGGATTCCTGGACGAGTGCCAAGCGACCCAGATAGAAGTCTCTGCTTTTATGGGAAGAACAAACAGTAATGGACACTTGTACTAATGTGCTCTCTGAGCTGGRGAGCTCGCCTCCACCCTGGTTTGGCTTTGAACACTCAGCTGCTGCTTTCCTCACGACAGGAAGTGAAAGAAAATGAGTTTTTTCCATCAGCTTTGCTCACTGTTGTGCTCATTATATCAGACTTGTGTTGCTGAATGTATTTGTTCTTCACATCCACAGCCTTCTTCGAAAACAAGGAGGACGGAGAAAGGTTTCCCAACCCTCCTCCTTACAGCGTTGCCACCACTTTACCCTCCTACGATGAGGCGGAGAGGAGCAAAGCAGAGGCTGCCGTCCCCCTGGTCGCAGGGAGAGTCTCGGTACGTTTCTYGTTTTTTTTGGTCACGTCTCTGATAACGTTCCTCATGTAATTTCAGGACGAAGGAGTTCATTCAAATGAATTTGGGGTTTGTTGCAGGACGAAGACTTTGTGGCCAGAGATGACTTTGAAGATGCCGACCAGCTGCGAATAGGAAACGACGGCATCTTCATGCTCACTTTCTTCAGTAAGACAGAGCGTATCATTTTTAGTAGTTTTATTGATTCGAGTTTATCTATGGCCATTGATTTCTAGTTAAAAGCTCTTGTATATGAAGCCTAACTTGAACCACTGTAATGCTTTAAACAGTTCCATATAAATACAGATATCAGAGAAGATGCCTGTTCTTTAGATTGAGAACTGCAGATCCCAGTGTTCTGATCTGATTTAAAAAAATWAAAAAATACCTGTCAGATGAAAGAAGTGTTTTAATGCTGACAGCAGAGTGACAGGGATCAGAAGGTTTCTGACAGGAATGAGACATCGTTAGCTGGCAGCCCTCGTCAGATCACTTTATTCTGCGAAGCATCAGAGCAGAYGCTTGTTTTTAACCAAAGCGTTTCTGACTGTGATTTTTCAAGTCGACGYTGCTGCTCTTGCAGCTGAGTCATCGTGATTGCACAACAGGATTGAGGCTGTTTCTTGCCTGCTCAGCTCTGGTTAGATCATGTAAAAAATGTTATCCCTTTCAGGCTTTGGATCAACACTGGGAAGAAAAAAAAAACACAAGGAATTTGAGACCTTAGGTGGCCTTTTTAAACTTTAGTCAAAAATATCTTGTTTACAACCAGATAAACAGATTGTGTTCTTTTTTTAAAGGACATACTTTACAAAGTCTGTTGCTGACGTTTGTTTTATTTTCGWCTGTGTTTTTGTCACCAGTGGCATTGCTCTTCAACTGGATCGGCTTCTTTTTGTCGTTCTGTTTGACCACATCAGCTGCTGGTCGATACGGAGCCATCTCAGGTTTTGGCCTGTCCCTCGTTAAATGGGTCCTCATTGTCAGGGTAAGAAGCCTTTACTGAAAAGCTATTTCTACAGCCGCGTTAAGCTTGTTACATACTCTGTAGGAACCAAGAAATGTGTTAATGTGGTCAAACTGTTGAGAACAAAGTTTGTTTTGGCCGATGCATTTCAATGCTCRGATACCAGCTAATGGTTTGACTGGATTATCTTTTCTTTTCTGTAGTTTTCGACCTATTTCCCTGGTTACTTTGATGGACAGTACTGGTTGTGGTGGGTGTTCCTGGCTCTGGGTGAGTGAGAGACATTGTATTTAGAAAGTCACATGACTGTAACATTAAAAAAAAAGACTTTTTTTAACCCGGGGATTTTCAAAATCTTTACAAATAGGAAAATGAATTAATTATCAGAAGGTCCTTTAACTTTATGACCATTAGTGTTCCTGAAGAGGAAAAGTGACCAACTTACATAACTGCTAAAATATATTTTATTTACCTTTTTTTACAGTCAATCTTATGAGCCAACTCAGCCTGAAATAAAAATATCAATTTTTAAAAGACTTTTTAAAAGTAATAAAAGGCCTTTAAAAAGTCCACATTTCAGTTTATTTAAAAATCAACCAAATGACCTTCAGCATGTTGCTCAGTCAAACATGGAGTCTTTTTTTGTTAATCATTTTATTTATTTATATTTTGAACTTCTACTCGTGCACAACACCGGCTGCACTTTGTTGCTCCTGCTGACACATGTATGTCCTGTAGGTCTGACATGTATACCTTCTGTCTTCAGAAAATACAGATCTCTTGTTTCAGACTATGAAGCTCAGCTTCAGGCAGCATCTGACAGTATTTTTGTTGAAAAAAAAAMCAAAAAACACCAGTTTTAGTTCAGATTCTTCAGTGTTCAGCTGCTCTGAGTCAAGATTGTGGGACAGAGGTGTTGCTGTTGAGTTTTGTCACATGATTCTTTTCCACAGTTTGAGCCAGGTTCTATTGATTCTGCTTGTTTGTAAAACATCAGTACAGATTATTCAACTAAATAGATCAACGGTATATGATTGATTTTATTTTTTAAATGTTTGTTCCAGGTTTCATGCTGTTCATCAGAGGCTTCGTTAACTACTCCAGAGTGCGCAAGTTGGTCGATCCCACTTACGGCAATCTGCCCAGAACAAGAGTACTTTTCATCTATTAGAGGCGAGTTGTTTTAGTCTGCGTGTGAGGAGCAGGAAAGCTGTGATGTTAAACAGGATATATTTAATATTTACAACAAGCACACTTCACTTCAGCTGCAGAGATTGAACCAGATCAACAGATATGACAAGAAACGGGAGACGTAACAGAACCTTCCTTATTGAATGCAGCCACTATTAATGCATCTGTGCAGCTCTGGCTGCATGTTCAACAACTTCACAAGATGGGTTTTATTTAAACATCATTAAATGCCACTTATTACTTAAACATAAGACAACTAAGTTAAACAATTCTGCAGACTTTGGAGTGACTGAAACCAAATGCTAAGACACAAAACTAAACTTGGCACAAAAAGTAAGTACATTCGTGTTTGATAGATTATATCTTTGTTGTAACAATGCATCTTGGCAATAAATCTTATATTGTTGGAAAGCCTGCTAATTTCCCTTTTAAATGGTGCCACATTTGTAAGGAACATGCATTTGATCAGAGCTGAGTATGTGTGTTGTACACATGAAATATTTGCCAAACGGTTTGTTTTGCTGTAGTTATTGACACTTGTGTTGAGCTTCTGGTACCCCCAGGTGCCAGTCAGGTGCCCGCTATAAGATTTACTGCCAAGAAGCTTTGTTACAAAGAAATAATCTGCCAAACACAAGTTGACCTTTCTTCCTGCACTACTTTCTGTATTAACTGTTCTATGAATGAATTCAAACAGAATCAAGGACCAAGTAAAAGTACTTATTATCTGACTGTTCATGAACAGTTGGTAATGTTGACGTGTGTTTTGGTCATACACTCAGGRTTTAAAAGAACAAGAGGCACAGAAGAAGTGTTGAAGAAACCAGAAATCAGCCAGAAGAGTTAAAGACAAAACAACTCAAGACGGTAACACATTCAGGAATTATATCACTCGTTTTCTTTTGTTTTGTTGTTTTAAATCTTTATTAATAGAACATGGCTAATAGTCCCTTAATGTATTCATTAGTGGCAAATGTTAGGTGCTATTTACATTTGTCTGTAATGTATCAGTAATGCCTTATATCATTTGATGGTAGCATACGAGCATGCTTCTGCCCACCAGGTTCACAATTAGTCTCTCATGTTGGCGACACCTGAAGCCAACGGGTAATAGATAATTAGTGCAACACTGTAGATTTGCCTTAGCATGCAGCTCACTTTGTAACACTCAACCTGTTTGATCGTAAGCTCAGAGACAAATGCAGGCTGTTAATGCTGTAGACGTGGTTCAGTATTTCACTCACCTGTTGGCTTCAGCTTCAAGGAGGCAGCGTTCATCTGCTGATATCAAGTCATTAAGAACTTGTTAAAAGTGTTTTACATCACTGCCACAGTCAGTGGACACAAATATACCAAAACGAGTCCCATCCTAATTATTTCCTGTTGCTGTACATTAAATCAGGTAAAATTATCCTCACCTGGAATTAGATTTGAAGTTGCTGAGATGCTCTTGATCATGTCCTAATTTAGTTTTTTCAGAAAATCTGAACCTGCAAATAACCAGAAATGGTGTGTTTTAATATGGAGGTTCTGAATGTTTGTTCAGTGACAACAAACCACTTTCATGAGCTCATATCTGGTCCATTTCTATAAAAACAAAAACATTGAAATGTTCCAGTCTGACCTCTTACTGTGTCCTGACTGAGTCAGTGAATATTTTGTTCATGGATTATAAAAATACTGAGTTTCAGCTGTTAACAATCTTCAGACAGATGGATCTAATTACCTGAGCATTAAAAGTAACTTAAATTCCTCTTCTAGGTGCTGTTATTTTTTTTCTTTGTTTTTGTAAGATTTAATGAGCAGATGGGCGAAACGATTAGTTTCTTCTCCTTTGAACTTTCTCATTCTGCRTTAGACGTTAGTATGAATTATATCAAAGAATGTTTGCAGCTGCATTTCCATACAGAACCAATAACTCAGAAGATCATTGTACTAAATCACAAAAATGGATCAAATAATCATTTAACTTCRTACTTCTGCCATGGCTTTGATTACAAACCAATTATGCTTGTTCCTATGTGGCGTAGAGCTGAAACGTTTGGGGTTTTGTTGTTATGTAACTGTACAGAAAATGTTTAGTGTTTAAATAAATGTCACTTTAAATGGGTCGTCTGGGTTATTTATTGAACTTTAATGGAGGACTGCACCAGCGGTCCTACACAAGTTTAAACTCTACAGGAAGTATTTATGGAGGAGTGTCATCTACAGGTAAATGTTATAAATCTGGTTAAAAACATTTTAAGTTTGTAGTTTTAAAATTCTTGGGGAAATATAGATCAAGCAGGTATTTTTATTTTTTACTCAAAGACGATTTCTAGTGGCAGCAAAGTGTTCAGAGAAATCTGCAACATGGCGCCTCATAAATAAAGCAGACTGTTACAGCCAGGCAAGCAACTTTTTCAGGTTACAGGCATCGAATAAAGGGATGTGACCACATGTAGGAGAACATGGAGGTGGAAGAAGAGGAGTGAAAGCTGTAGAGAGGCAGCTGGAACAGCGAGGCTACAATCAACAGAGGTCACTAAACTGGTAAAGAAGAGGCAGGATGGAGGAAAGTCTCAGTTTCAGCAAAGGTTAAAGGAAAGGTTTACAAGAGAGTAGAGACCAGCTGTGTTGTATGGTTTAGAGACATGGACATAAAGACAGGAGACAGAACAGAGTCACAGCTGAAGATGTTGAGGTTCTCCTTGGGAGTGACAAGGATGGAGAAGAGATCAGGGTCCGTATTTAACAAACTTCTTAGAGTGGAATTTTAGTCTCAGATGGACCGAGAAGACGGATCACAGCTGTCCTCAAGACCTCAAAAACTGCACTAAGTGGTCTGGGGGTCCCTCACCTGAGTGTTATTCTCAGTTACAATGTACAGAGGAACTAAAATAAAAGTTAGGAGAACAGGTTTAGTCATCAATACAAAAAGAAGGGGAGGAAAAAAATACCAGTGCCATAATGTTGGACTAAAAGACGGATATTTCTGTGTGGCTTTTGGAGAGAATATTAAACTATCAGCTGGTGAGTGAAAGCAGATGATATGATGCTGCCAAAAGTCTTCATTTTTAACCCCCGCCTCGTCATTGGTTAAGGTGGAATTGAACTTTGGTTGTTTTTTAACCCAAATTTCACAAAATCTGTAAATTTCTTTAAAAAAAAACAAGCCAGAGTACTTAATGGAGCGCGGGGTGCTCTCAGACAAAACGGATAACGACCGAGCTGTGTGTGAAGGCAAGTTAAACATTACCTCAGGCTCTGAGACGTACAAAAAACATTCAAGCTGCAGTTTTTGAAATACTGATATTCATTCTCATTGTGACTCTCCATAAATCACATAAAATTCCCTCATTTATATCATGAATGAAGGAAATGTTGCATTTTGTTGATCTTAGGATTTTCACAGATTTATCTTGACGTTTCTCAGAGAATCTTCTTGAACATGAAATCCGATGCAGTGATTGGTCCATGCCGGGGGCTTTGTAGCGACGTCATCCAGGATCAGCTTTGTGGCACAGCAAAGTGTCGTAAATCAGCTCTAAGACTGACACTTAAGAATTACTCTGTTTATATTTAAGTCCACTCTAAAACAGCATTCTTAAAGTGCCTGTGACATCAAATTTTTGTAATAAACACAAATCATTTTTGGAAAGATAACATTGGTTACATACTGCAAAACAAATTTCACATCACTCAGATGAACGGTTGTTGAGATATTGTCATGTGAAGAAACAGGAAGTGATGTCAAAGGGGAATGTCAGCATGTAAACAAAAGCTAACTACACAGACTGTAGAGAAGAATCTGTTTCTTTAGATCATTTTTAGTCCCTATCAAAGAGAGACGGAGAAGAGTTGAAGTTTAAATAATTTTGTTTTAATAAACTGAGACCAGCGAGTTTATTTTATTAATGAGTTCCCCTTTGATGTCACTTCCTGTTTCACTTTGGCTGAGCCAAATTTAAAAGAAAATACACCAGTTATGTAACAAAATGGGTAAAATCATGTGTATTATGCCAATTTTCTTAGGTATAAAGATGCTTTCGTTGACTTTTTGTATTTGAAGGATAGGCACGTCACAGGCACTTTAAGAGTAAGACGGTTGATAAATGGCGGGCCCGGAGGTGCAGCGGTAGAAGAGCTGCAGCTGCCAGGAAAAAGACGGAGCTAGATGGATGCAGCTAGAGAGGACATGGGAGGTAGATGTAGTGAGGAGGAGGAGGCTGACTCACTGTGGCGACCCCTGAAGAGGGAAGAGCCAAAAGAAGAAGACGATGCGACCACACCTGGATCGCTCCACCACATGTCTCTGACGTGTACTTTGTTCATCGCTCTATAAAACCTTTTCTTCTAACAGTTCAGATAAAACCACATTTAGAGAACACGTCCTTATCCAACACCAGCATTCTGGCTGTGCCTTCTAAAATATTCAGTCTGAATTAATAACTCGTGCTGGGTTTGAAGCACCTGTTCTACCTCAAGTGTCTTAGTAACTCAGTCATTGTCCAGAAACTGTTAAAAAGCCTGAAATAACAGTGTTGGAAACATTAACCCACCTTTGTGAACAATCTGGTTAAATTTCTACTAAAAAGGAAAATGAAACTAAGCTGCATTTTGACTTCTGTCCAAAATGAAATCAAATACATATTTCTTGATTGTTTGGATCAGAGCTAAACAACAGCTTCACCTCCTCTTCATCACGTTTTGTTCCGGGTGCAGTCGATGATTTAGCCTCGTGTTTTCAGTCTGTTCGGTTCCTTCAGTACCGGGGGTCGTCCAGCTGTCTGGGCAGAAAGAAGATGGCCTTCTGTCCGATGTGGGTTCTTGGACCGGGCTTAGGTTTGCCGTTTTTCTTCAGGGCTACGTACCAAGTGTGGTCTTCATATTTCTGTGACTTATACGTGTTGTAGTGGTTCTCCTCCAGCTTCTCCAGGAAGTAGCATTCATCCGTCACTGTGGGCTGCAGCGGGAACACACAGAGGACGAGATGCAATGGATTTGAACTGTGGAGTTAAAACCTTGATCAGGATCAAYGGTTTGATTGTGTAAATCAGCAGCTGCACTCACCGAGCTGTACAAGTGCCCTTCATCGCTCATGGCCAAATATCGCCCCGCTTCTGTTCCCTGGATGACCACGACACCTCTGTCCACAGATCTGAGCTTTAAAACAGCTGAAAGGAGACAGACTTTGAATTCTAGCTGAAAACAACCAACTTGATTATACAATCTGCTTAAAAAATAAAGTAAAATCTGAAAAAAAATATTAGCTCTGCTGTTTAAAGTTCATGTAGATTTATACAAAATTTTAAACTAAGTTTAATCGCTCTAAAAGTCCAGATGCTGTTACTTTACAATGATTTTCTTTTTGTTATAACCTCAGTTCTGTTTCATTTTAGGATTTTATTTAGACATAAAACTCTGATCTTATTTGTCGAGATTCAGGGGGAACAGGTGACGATCCAAACTTCAAACCCTGTCAGATCTTTGATTTATTTTCTTAAAGATGCTGATTAAGACACTTCATTTTGCTACAAACAGTTTAAGATCACACTGCTTTTGTCCACTGGTTTGGTTTTCACCATTTGTTTTGAGAGCACACTGATCACCAGCTGTTTGTTAATAAAGTTGGTGGTGAACACAATACTAATAGAGTGGCTGTGCTTTATTTTGTTGCAGCATTCAACTTTAATTACAGAAATGTACCCATAAAAAAAGATGAGTTTTTTTTTGTCAAATCCTTCAAAAACATTTTCTGAAATCTTCTTCAGCTGTTTTGTTTTATGCTCATTTCTGCTACTGTCTTCTACAAACAGCATTTAGCTGCAGTTTTGTTACATTTAGCTTTGAACTTTTTAAACTAAATACCTCAGTTTGTTTAATGACGATGAAGACCTTCAGGTTAGAAATAACAAGAACTCTGATGAAAACGTTGATAAATTGTTTTAAGTGAGGGGTGTTCAGTCCTGGTCCTCGAGGGCCGCTCTCCTGATGTTTTCCTGCTCCAACACACCTGACTGTGACTGAATTACCTCTTCATGTCTTGTATTCACGCAATAATGTAAATCAGGTATGTTGGAACAGATAGTGGCAGGTGTTACACCAAATTTTGTGACCATCATATACTGTGACCAGAGGGGGCGCTGTTGCGTTTCTAAAAACAACTTGGCAGAACATGGCCACAAAGAAGAATATGCTGAAGACATACAAAAACAAAAACTGTTGACTGTTATTATACATGGTCACAGAATATGACAGCTGTCATATATTGTGACTTCACTGTAGCTAAGGAAATAGTAAAAAAATATTCAAAAACTATACTAATCGTTTACATCCTCTAGTGTCAGAAAAATAACTTTTGATCACTGACATGGTGACTGTTAGTACAGGGTAACATAATATAATAGCTATTATCATGTATAGTAGTAATAGTAAAAGTCAACATGCCAGTGATCAGAAGTTATTTTTCTGGCATTAGAGGATGTATACAATGAGTAGAGTCTGTTCGTGAATAAATAATTTTATTATTTACCATGCTACAGTGAAGTCACAATAGATATGACAACATTAGTCATATTTTGTGACCTCTGGGTTACACTTTTGTCGTATGATCTTATTCTTTTTTGTGGCTATTTTCGGCCAAGTTCTGTTGTAGAAACGCAACAGCGACTCTTCTGGTCACAATATATGACGGTCACAACATATGGTGCAACACCTGTCCTGTAATAAGTTGTCTCAGTGTGTTCAGTAAAAAAAAATAAACACCTGACTGGGTGAATTATCAAAACTGCAAATGAAACTACCTATTTAAAAACAAAATCCAAATTTTAACACGAATGAGGTAAACTTCGTCTCAAAAGGAGGAAAATTTAAATATACCCTCATCTAGAATTACCCTATTTGTTTTTAAATAAGTAGCCTATGTTACAAATGACATATCAAGGAAGCTGTGGGATGTTTAACCTCTGCAGCGGAGAGGACGTGAACGCATCACGCTGCTGGGCCTGTGTCAGGATGCGCGCATGCGCAGTGCGTTTCTGCTGCTGCGGATTCCTCACCGTGAAGGTCCTGCTCGTTCCTTCCGCCCTGCACCGTCCCATCGGGGAGGATCTGGAGGTGATACCCGCCGTTCATGCAGTAGAGCCGTGTCAGCCGCCGGTAGTCCCGCAGCGCAAGGCCACCGCCCTCCTCAAACTCTTCCCCGGCTCCCAGTATTTCTCCGTCCGCCATCCTGATCAAATGTGCCCCAGCAGCAGCAGGTGGGGTTCGGGATTCTGATGGGAACTTGTCAGCTGGTCTGTCCCCTGCGGAGCTCTGGGGTTTATGGAGGTCGTGAACGAGCGCAGAATAAACCGCAGACTGGCAACATGCGCGCTCCCGATAAACCCTTTACTGTTTCAGGTTGAACTCGTCCATAAAGGTGCTACACTTCTGTTCAGAGCCATGAGGACGAGTCTAAAGGATACACATCACATGCACTTCAAGCACTTTAGCTATAAGCTACATTAAAGCCAGGTATAACAGTTAGCTCCAGATGTTTGCAGAAGTTTGAATAGAAACTAAAAAATATGCGTATTTGTTGATGTATAAACTGTATAGTGTCATAAAAAAGTGAAATAACGCTGCTGCTAAAGCTTCATGCTTCACCATGCCCATGGTAACCAGCCCAAAGTGGGGACCGCGGGCCAAATTTGGCCCGCCAAGCCATTTGATTTGGCCCACCAACAGTTGCCAAAGTTACAAGGTTGTAACCTGTTATCCTAACACAGTATTTCCATTGGTCAAATGACTATATAAAAGGGCTGTAGTGAAGGTAGTTTTCATTCATGGTGCTGACATATCTTTGATTTATTAGGATTAAACATGAAACATGAAATGACAAGAAATATTTAGATCAGATTTAACCCCACATGTAGATTTGCACACTTTATAAGGTCACAAAAACTCATTTTATCAATTTATGAAATGTCCCATGAGCCTTTGCTRCTTGAGCGTATGGCAGACTTTCTCCAAGTGCACAGACTACTAAAGAGGGCCATTGCATAGCTTAATCGTTAAAAATAACGGACTTCACTTACAAAAATATTTGTATTTCATGTATTATATTACTGCATTTGGCCCACAGCTCTGGATAGATTTTCATTTTGGCCCTCTTGGGGAAAATGTTTGGGCACGTTTTACAGATTCTACTGCGCATGCGTAGTATCCGTATATTTTTTTTGCGGCGCATTTCATGCCTACTTCCRGTTTGTTGAAATACAACGTAAAATATTAATAGAAATAATTTGGATGCACAACAAAAACTCTGTCATCAGCCTGTGATGGACTTGCGACCTGTCCAGGGTGTACCCCGCCCCTCGCACTGTGACTGCTGGATATGGGCACCAGTGACCCACGCGACCCTGAAAAGGAAGAAGCGTGTACAGAAAATGATGGATGGATGGAACAAAAGCTCTTTAGAAACACTGGTGAATTTGATTCTTTTTAAATTTTCTTTTGCTGCATTTGTTTTTGCAATGTTGCTTCTGCTTAAAAAATAATTTCATATTTTTATAATTATTTAGATTGAATTTATTTCCTTACAGTTGTGTTCAAGTAATAAGGGGCAATTAGGACTAGACCAGGGCTGGGGTGCCTGATCCTAGTCCTCAGTGGTCACTATCCTGCTGGTTTTTGGATCTTCCATGCTCTGCAGCAGCATGTTAATCAACCAGGTGTGTCAAAGCAGTGAAACATAAAGCATGCAGGATGTTGTCCCTCCAGGACCAGGATTGGGCATCGCTGGTTTAATCAATCTGCAAACAGTTGCAGATTTACAAAAGTAAACTAATCAGGTGTCGAAATGAAAAAAATAAATACACAAAATAAAATTATTTGGTGAAGAAGTGCTATAATCATGAAAAAAAAACAGCTTACAAGAATCTCACTGTGTATCGCATTCGTATCGGGGGTAAACATCAGCAAACAGTTTCCTTTGAAAGTGGAGAAGTACCACACCAACACGTTCGGTTCAACCTTTAATCAATGGAGGAAAAGATCAACAAGAGTCCACACTACAGAGAGAAAGAATACAGAGAGGGAGAGGTACTGAAAAACCTACCTGGAGACAAATACACCACTTTTTTTTTTCTTTACAATGGATTATATGTACATATTAAACTGGTATGAAGCCCAAAAACAAAAACATGAAACAAAACATTTCCAGAGAAAACATGAACCTGTGAAACATGATCCGCCCTTTTGCAATATCTCATAATTATTGTCTGCATATGTTTTATACAAAATAGACTTTCAAACAATATTTGGGTAGTGCAATCTTTTTTTGTGTGTAGATTCAAGCTGGCTGATTACTTTCACAAACAGTTTTGTGTATGAAAACGACAGTCCTATCCTATTCACAGTATTATACAATTTGACCAAAGACAAGTAAAAAAAAAGTGTTTAATTAAAAAAAAAAAAAAAAGAAATCCTGTACATTTGTCATCTCATAGCTCTGTAGTTCATGTGAAATTTGAATTTGCTTTGGTCACCGTGAGATTCGACATTAAAATCTGCGGGTTTGTCGGAAAATCTGCGTGGACTGATTTATTGTTTCCTGAAGATCCTGATAATCTGGCCTGCAGAGATTAAAAAAAATCAAATGAATCTCCCGTATGCGAGTAGCTTATATTGTGTTAGAAGGTACAAAAGAAACGAGGAGAGCACATCATGTGAAGATTATCTGTCATTTCTATTGCATATTCAGTTGGTCTCAAAAATGTATAGGAAAGTAAACAGAATACATTTTTGAGCAAGACGAGGCAAGTGTGCGATCTCATATATATATATTTATATATATATATAAATGTATCTTTATATATATATATATTTAAATCTCTCTCTATATACTTGTATAAATGAAGAGCAGCAGCAGAAGACTGAATATACTGAATGTGAAAGTAACCCTCTACAGGTGATGAGGATAGTGTTTATTATTACTATTTTGAAAAAAGTCAAATAAAAGATCCGTTCGAGGCTACAGGATGCGTGAAAGGCGGTGGCAGATCCCTCAAACTCACATTTGTCTACATTTGCACATAAAACACAAAAGCGGAAACTGTTTTTGGTTCTTCCCGTCAGAACTAAAAGCGGATCATAAACTGTGTGAATCAGACCAATTCCTTTAAAACCTGAGCACTGGAGCAGAATATAGAATATAAGAACGTAAGCAATTTATCTGGTTTTGGGATAGACGTTAAAAACATATTTTTATATAATTATTTATATATATATATAGAAGTGAGCGCTCTGACATATTTCATTCATTCCTGACAGCTCACGACGTTTCACCTACCATAACAGTTCTTTGCTACTACTTTAATAAAACTCTTTAACACCACACTTGTTAAAATCTTCTCTTTAAAACAAACAAACAAACAAAAAAAAATAAGACAGGTTATGAAACACGCTGAAGACGAACTACACAGACCACATGGGAACATGTTGCGACAGGTCAGACACACAGAGACCCATGTCGATGTGTTCAGGACTAAAAGATCAGGCAAGCTCAGSACCGATTCCTCCCACATTAGTATTTTTTTTGTCCTCCTTTCAAAGAAATATTTCATAAATGGATTTGTTTGATACAAATACTGACCAATATCCAGCATCCCTGAAAACAGACATAAAGAAAGAAAAAAGGAGTTTGGCACTGAAATAGTTCCCAGAGAATAAAGGATCCGTTTTTGTTTTTTTGCCTGCCTGTCCGGTCCGGTCCAAGGAGATTGAGTGCTCAAAAAAACGATGGGGCTCGATCACGCAGCAGCACGATTACACAAACATGCAAAGACGCACAGACATCAGAATAAGTTGCATACAACGGAGGGAGGCTGACGAATTAGGGGTGTCACACAGGACGGGGGGGCGGGGTTTATGGGTTTAAAGGATAACGAATCTGCCAACGCCTGATCCATAAGTGTGGTATACAACAAGCCATCATCTGAAAAAGGTACATGCTGACATTTGAGAGGAGGAAGAATACCATCAATGTTCATGTTTTTGCTGAAAGTTGAGAGAAAACGAACACCAGTTGAGCCTAAAACTAGTTATTGATTCTACGTCTGAGCAGAGGTTTGGGCAGGCCTATAAAAAGAAAACTGTTAAAAAAGAAACACCTAATATGGTTGGATCGGCTACAGAGACAGAGAGGCTGAGCTACTTCATAATCCACCAAAAAGATGCTGAGCAGTAAAGAGACAGTTCAGTTTTGTGTAAGAGAGGTTCAGTGAGTAAGCTTAGAAGTTAATATCTTACCTGTTAAAGATGCTTCTTTAGACCACATCATTTTGAAAAAAAAAATAAATAAATTATTTCTAACCAGACTGATGAGATAACAATGAAAGCAGGGGTGTCTAACTCATTTTTACCCAGGGATACACGAGACCTGTGGTGGCCCACCATGGGGCCAGTTGTGTCCAACTAAACACAAAACGGTTCTCGCGTCATTAACTGAGCTCTGTGGTATTTCGTACACAGAAACAGTGTTTAACATGTCCTCTTATGGCTGGCTGTGGGGCAGTGGTAGGGCAGCTGACTTGGGACCAGAAAGTCACAGGTTCAACTCCCTGCCATAAAAGATGTCATCTCTAAGTAAGAGATGTTTTTGTTCTGGATGGCTTCACACACTGTTGAGTTGTGGTAAGTAGCTGCCGTCTTTCTGAACTCTCCCACTTTCWGACAGGGAATTACGACTTGTAAGCGGGAAATTCTCACCTCCAAGTACAACTGGACTGCAGCAAGCGTAGCTGGCTAAAATGCAACAAATTTCACCAGCTGCTGGCTACTTTCAAACCCTGTGCACCTCCACCTAGTGGTGAGATGCTATCTGCAAATAAAATAATCAACATGCATTATGGGAGATGTAGTTTGCGGTCAATGCTGGCTTTGAAGCAGCATACACTTATTTTAAGACAATACATCTTTGAAGTTCTCGCGGGCCACATAAAATGCTGCGGCAGGCCACAATTGGCCCGTGGGCCATGASTTTGACACGTGCATTCGAGGATTTTTCTATTGCAARACTTGTGTTTTGCAAACTACAAGTCACCAGAAGAAAATGGGCATAAAACCAATAAATCGGAAGAATGTTTTGCTTTAAATATCCATCTCTGGACTTTTGCTCGTCATTCTGGTCAGAATTAAAACATTTCTACAAACTGAGGAGCGAACTACAACAGATAAGATAAAAACCTTTCCTAACCTACCCCCGCTTCAAAACAAACTATCACTTTAACTGAAGAGGCTTATTCCACCCTGGTGTTAAAGCTTTGTATCGACTCTTAAAAACTTTCAGCAAAAACACAAACTGATTGTATTTTCTAAATGTTTAACAAACATCTCTAAGAAATAAACAAAAATAAAAATCATAAAGATTAAATAATAATAATAACAACAATAATAACAACAATAATAATCCAGATGCTTAGAGAGCAACGTTGGAGGAAACTCAGAGGAATTAGGACTGTATTTATACCAAAAATAAAAAAAAATGTTAAAAACTTGGGAGGACGGTTATTTCCTAACTAGTTTGAGCCATTTTAAAAACGACAAATTAGTACTCCTGAATATTTCAAAAAACCCACAAACTTGCAAGCACAACAAACACATGCTCTTTCACTTGTGATTGGCAGAACACATGTATCCATCACATTCTAGAGTAATCAGACTACTGGGGCAGACAAGGAAAAAAAAAAATCTTCTATATATTTTCATCTAAAGTCTCACAAGAAAGACCGGTAAGGAACAACCACTTTTCTTCACAGTCTTTTTAAAGCCTTTCGCAGAGCGCAAAGTGCTCGGATCGCACTTCTGCTGCAGTGTGCTCGCAAAGAGTTCGCATGAAAGGAAGCAGGCTAAATATCTGTTTTTGTTTCTCAGCAATAATAATAAAAAAAAGTCTATACGTGAAGGATAAAACCGAGCTGCCGCTTGAAAAGATAAACAGCCACTAAATTAAGAAAAAAAAAGGGAAAGCTGCAACTGCGTGTATTAGAATATAAAAAAGTACAATCAACTTACGATGAAGGTAGACGATGACAGGTTGAAGTTCGATAGGAAAAAAAAATGGCTTCGATGATTTTGTTGTTTTTTTAAGCAAAAAAAGGCACATCTTTTTCCCTTTTGTAATCGACATGTAAACCTGGAAGAGGTCGGCTTGTGGGAGAAATTATTGGTGGACTTTAGCTAACAGGCCCACAGAAAACTATGTAAATAGTTACGTAATCAAAGCAAAGAAAGATGCTTTTTTAAAATCATTAGAAAAACAGACTGTTTTTTTCCTTTTTCCTCTGTGTGACAGAAAAAAACATTTTCGTTACAACCTCCTATAAAGACTAAAATTAGAACATAAAAGCCTACTTAAGAGCATGTTATTAAGCTTTTGTTACCCTCTTGGGTAACGACGACCTGGAAAATTGTATAAACTGTCGTAGTTTGAAAATGTAGAAAATACTATCAGAAGCTGTACATAGATAATTGTATCTATTTTAGATATCGTTCTAGATCTGAAAGTAAGACACCTGAGACAACATTAATGTTAGCCTATTATTTCTCTCTGCGATTAGCTTTAACAAACAGTTCCTACTCTTATTAGACACTACATCTTAGACTCTTAACGGAAGCAGAATGCTTCGCGCGTCGCCGTCTGCTTCCTACACAAACGTCGCTCCATCCCACCGGACGCCTTCAGCCCGCTTTGAAACCGATGCTTGATTCCTGAAAAAAAAAAACGTCGTCCTCTCCTGGCGTTAGGTAGTCAGTTCTATTCTTTGCTTATCTGGAGGGTGGAGGTGAAGGGAGGAAGAGGTGGTGCTGCGGGGGCTGCTGAGGTGATGTGGTGGGATTTTAAGGCTTTGTGTTTGCTACAGGAAACAGTCATCTCTGATGGAAGAGGAGAGGTTTGACGCTCCCAGCCTTGAATTTTGGTAACTGATTGCTGATGATCTCTGCCAGCATCTCGGGGAACTCCACGCTCAGGAACTTGTTCACGAAGGTGTAGAAGCAGAAGCTGAGCAGACCGCCGCCCATCTGCACACATACACATGAGGTGTTGATTAATTTAAACACACACACACAAATGCTCACTTCAGTTTAGGCATGGGCCGGATACCAGTTTCAAGGTATCCCATGATATGAAAAGGTCACGGTTTGAAAATCACTAAAATTTTCTGTCATAATGTTCCTACGGTATGAGCATTTTTTGTTTTTCCTCTGGTCTGTGCAGCTGCAGACTTTCCCCCGTGCACCCCTGCAAGCTGCCTGTCTGCAGCACTCTGTGTTACGGCTGAAGGAAGAGAGTTCCCCAAACCTTTCCCGTCTAAAATAATACATCCAGCTACATGAAAATACTTTGGATGCTGTAAAAAGACGGACGGAATGTCTTGTGGACCGTGGAGGCAACACATCTAACATGACCGCAGCTCCAGGTAAAGTTATGCTAATCTTTGAACGAGCTAACTTTAGCATCAGTTTGTGAAACATGTTACCGTGTTGCTGTGGTTTAATGTGCCGATCACAACTTGTCTGCAAAACTGTTTGAGTTGTTGGATTGTGTATTT